CTCATTTAAAATGGCGTAACAACTATATAATGCCCTATATAGGGATTAGGGCAGACATTCAGACATGGCCAAAGACTTGAAAAAAACTTTGATGTATCACACTTTGTCAATTACAAAAAAAATGAAACCAAATTTCATATTTAAGGGCAATTTTTATTAAATAAACTTAAACTCACTTCTCTGTCTTTGGTTTTATTTTTTGTTTCCTTCTCATCCAAACTTGGAAATTGATCACAACAATTAAAAGATAAAAGAGAAAAAGAGAAAACAGGAATTCAAAATTGAGATTTAAAGTTAGTAATTTTCAATTGCAACAGAAGTTGGACTCACTACAGGTAAGATAAAAATATAAGAGATTAAATGAAAGCCAAATAATTACACATATGATCAAAATAAGTTATATTCTTAATTTTCATTTGATTAAATGTAAATGTCAAACATTTATAATCTTTGCTGGATTTACGGCAATTAAACCTTTTTTCCAACTGCTGACCAACTCCTTGCAAGTTTGCTGTTTATGTTTTGATGATTTATCTTTGGTATTGAGCTCCAGGTTTTGAGGTTAAAAGGCCATCGTACTAATCTTTAGCCCCCCCTAAACATTTTTTTAAAATCATATTTGAGTCAGGACTCTGCTGGGCTACTCCAAGATGTTCATGTTCTTTAAAGTCAGAAAAAATAACAACAACAACAAATAACATTTGGTTAGATAAGGATTATTTAATACGGATATACCAATTTGCCAGTATTAATCATTTCACATTAAACTTAATAAAAATTTAAACTGTATTTTATTTAGATGTAATTACGTTTTTTGTTCTTCTATGTGGTTCATTTAATGTCTGGAATAATCAGAAACAGAGAATTAATTTGATTTATCTTTGAGCGTTTCATTGAACAACTTAAGATTGTAAATGTCAGAGAGGTAAATTGAGGATCTACATTTACTACAAATAAACACAAAGAGAGTTGATTACATTTAACTAATTGTTAAAAATGCTAATATATCAAGTGTTTTATCAATTCATTTTCTTTTAGTTAATGACATTAAAAATAGCAAATAACTCTTAAAACTTAAAAAACAAGCAACAAATCAGGATGTGCTACTTCGATGGATTTCTTTTACAATTTGGCAAATAATTTGATACCAAGAAACGGTATTCAGAATGTTCATTACTTATTTTTGGTAAGATATACATTCACAAATAATTTGACATTATTATACAGCAATCGGTCACAGAAAGAACAACTTGACGGAGTGAAAAACAGACCATACATGAAATCGCAGCTTTCTTTTTTGTCCCTTGCAGCATTAAAGTAAACTGATGGACTAGTATATATCAGTGCACACTACACCGAGAGCCCCCGCAGCTTTGACATTAAAAAGGTTAACTAATTCTCTAAATCAAGTCAGATCTGAATCTGTCATCCTGCCAGACCAAGTCGACGTTGAGTCAGCTTGCCATTTCTGAGAGCTGACGCTGAGAGACATGACAAGCCAAGCAGACAGATGAGCGGACGGATGGAGTTTGAAGGTCCAGCATCCATCACATGCCAATCCGATACGCACTTCCTCCATCCTTCCACCAGCGGCGACCTTCTGTGGCAAGACTCTGCAGGGCCATTTTCTGTCACTAGCCATGTGCTCGCTCTCAGATCATTAGAAGCGGAGGAAACAGAATGGTCCCAATATAGCAGGACAATAAACATTGTGCTTAAATCCCTACTTAGCAGAATCAACTGGTTAGTCTCCCTCTTCTAACAGAATAAAGTAAACAATTACCCAGCTCTGTTCAGCTAAAGAATCTGAAGTTCAATTTGTTCCTCCATTAAGGTTTCCCTCATTATGTAAAAAGACATCACCTCTGCATAGCTGAAGCCACTAGAGATCACTAATGAATTCTGAAACTTTTATTTCCTGAATACAACATGTGGACAGGAGACACTTTCTTTAACATCTAGTGTCAAGCCAGTTTTTCTTCCTCCGTGCTTCTCTGAGCATCAAGGAAAAGTGTCATTAAGATGGAGACAATTACAGCAGAGCTGTGATGAGACAGTGGGGGTGAGTGAGCCGCATGCTTGCTCACAGCAAGGGGCTAATTGTATCAATATGTAAAACTCGCACTGAAGAGTGGTTAATACATTTTTGATCAAATTAAGTCATTGTTAGGTGGAGGGGGGTGTACAATGAGAGACCATGCACAAGTGGTTTTAAGCTCTGAGTAAGCAAACTCCTTTCGTTGTTTGCTCAAATTACAATAAATATGAGTTACAGTTAAATGAATGAGAGATGAGACATGTTTTCTTTAGGCAGAAGTGCTTAGATGAAGCTGACTTCAATTTTATGTCTCGCTGACTTTTTATTGAGGATTTTAAGCTTTTCTGGCATGCTAAACACAAACTGAACTCTGCAGGCTACATCTCAGGAATCCAAACTGAATTTCGGCAACGCTTCGCTGAGACACGCCCGTCAAGATCCGAGCGAATAGCTGAGCCACACATGTTCTCACTCACAGATGGATTTGGCTGAAGGATCAAGGACGTGTGGAGGAGATGGACACTATCCTCGTTGACAGTACCTTGACAAGCGTAATCCTATATAATACACACTGGGTAAACACAACACCAAGCCAACCATACAACCGCGACCCACACTTCCTCTGCTTGGCCTTTGAATTTCACATTCTTTAAGGGGTTGAGACAAAGACAGAGACAAATACTTGCTGCTTCACAAACAAGTACAAAGAGTAGGTACACATTAGCATACATACATAATTACATGGAAAGATAAAACCAGTCAAAAAGAAAAATCCCAAAATAAGCATGCTGGACATTGTGTGGTATATTGGTAGAGCTGATGTGCCACAAAGGGATGCCATAGTCCTTGACATATCTCTAGGTCAGAGGTCCTCAGCTATGGTCTCCAGAAGCCACTTTCCTGCATATTTAAGATGTGTATCTGCTTTGCCATACCTGAACTCTATCACCTCCTCAGCAGGCATCATGTTTGGTCATAAATTCCATATACTATTCTTATAAATCTAAAGGTGCAGCTGTAAATTAATTGTTTCCACCCTTTAAACCAGAAAGTAAAAAAAAAAATGTTTTCCCTGTAAATCAAATAATTGGTATTTGTGAAAAAAAAAAAAAACACCCAAAAAACTAATTACACGTTCCTTTCTGTTGCAGAAAAAAAGATTCCAGATTCGATTCCTGGCTTGGGATTTTTCTGCATGGAGTTTGCATGTTCTTCCCGTGCATGCCATTATTTCCAGATACTCCGGCTTCCTTCGACAGTCCAAAAACACGACCGTTAGGTTAACTGGCATCTCTAAATTGACCTCTGGTTTGAGTGTGTGTGTGAATGGTTGTATGTTTTTCTGCTCCCTGCAACAGACCGGCGACCTGTACAGGGTGTACCTCACCTTTCGCCCATAAACTGCCGGAGACGGGCACCGGCCCCACCCTACCCCAACCAAATAAGCAGAAGAAGAAGGATGGATGGATGGATGGAATAAAATTTTGCTGTGACTTTAAACATCCATGTATGAATTTTGACAGCAGTGTCTATATCCCAGCTGATTGCTAAGTGGTCAATGCTATGTCAATCAAAACTTTAGCAATTAACTGGATGATTTGTATTTTCCACTTCTGCTTATTGCCTGTACATGCTGATTCTCACATCCTTCATACTTATTTCCATTCATTTCAAACGGAGCTACAGGACTATGAAGCTAGATCGGTCTCAATTTTCACAAATACACCTATGTGATTCATACATGCATAGGACAAGATTCACACATGCACTAAAGAAATCCACACACACATAGAAGTGGCTCAGTGGTTAGCACACACGACCCGATGTAGGGTTTAGTCCTCGACATGGGCGATGCGGGTTCAAATCCGGCCTGTGGTCCTCTGCCGCATGTCCCCCCCCCCCCCCCCCCCCCCCCCTGATACCCCCTTTCCTGTCAGCCTACTGTCACTACTACTGCCTCTAGTGCGGTAAAAACTCAAAAAAAAAATAATAATTAAATTCTATTGTGTATCGAAGCACATCAAGGGAGTCTCAAAATTCCACACACAAATGCAGTGAAGTTTAAAGACCACTGGTACTTTTTAATTTATAATTGTTTATGGACATGAAATACTTTGGTGATTCTTGTGCTGTGCATGTGTGGATCTTGCATGCTTGCATGAATCATGCTGTGCATCTATGGATCTTTTCCTTTGTGTGTTTGGATTTTTTTGTGCTTGTGTGGATCTTGTACTGTGCATGTATGAATCACATATGTGTATTTGTGAAAACTGAGAGCAACATAACTCCCTACAGGACATACATTTAAATCTCTTTACGAATGTCCCATCTCATCTTTTTTTTAATATCCTTTCAGTGTTAACCTTCAGTCCAAAATTAGAATCTCTGAACTTGTAAATGTTAGCAATCTTTTGAAGATCTTTAAAATTATGCTCTACATTCGCTAGGTACCACGTATGGAGACTGTTGTTTAAAGCTTTTAAAATTAAACATGCTTATCATTCACACAAACCTAATCTAAGAGGATAAAGATGGATTAAAATGACAGCTAAATTTTCCTTTTGTCTTTCATAAAGTGTTCATTGGAGTTAAGGTTTACAGCAACGTTTTCCATCGCATGAGTGGTCTGATTTGACCACTGAGGAATACTATCAATTAATGCTAATGATATAAAGGTATAAAAGTAATCTGTTTATAGAAATATAAAACACAATCTAAAAGCAAAAATCTTGTTTGTATATTTCTACAAAATACAGTCATGTGTTGCATGTAAACATGTCCCTCAATCAAGCTAAACTGCTATCAGAATTATTCAGATTTTTACTTTGATCTAAGTATTTTAGAGTTATTAAATACTAAGATTAATCCTGCCTAATCCTGCACTTTTTTTTCTTTTCGTTCTTAAATATGTCTTGTCCCCATTACATCCATTTATCCATACTGCAGGGGAGGTGAACCTTACCTTGAAGGCCTGGCTGTATGGCCCGATGTTAGCAGGGGCCCAGTGGGAAAGACTCTGGACATGCAGTGCTTCTTTGTGTCGGAAACAGCCTTCCTCCAGGGGCTCAGTCCAGTCATGGAGGAAACAGTCCATCTGCAAAAGCTGTCCGGCTGGCAGAGGTGCCTGGACACAAACTCTACAAGAAAACAAACAGAAAAAAATATGACAAGTTTGAACAGTATAAACAAGAGAAAAAAAGAGAGTGAACCTTTTACCTGGCTGGAGGATTTATGTTGAAATATTTCCTGTAAACTGCATTAAGAGAGACAAAATCCTCCATGTTCCTTACATAAAGATGAACCAAAATGATGTTCTTCATCTCCAAAGCATAGATTTTTAACTCGTCTGGGAACAGATAAAAAAAAAAAAACATTAAAAGCAGCAGATTATAAAATCTGAAAACTACCTTAAAAGTCTGTAAACATCCAGAGAAAATTGTTGACTTGGTCCCACAATGAATTTCTTTTAAAAAGTCTGGTTTACCTTCTGTCATTGCTCTTGTTTTAGTATAATTCTATGTTGCACCTATTCACATTAAAGCATGTGCATTGGGATTCAAGAATAAAGCAGTACCTGTGGCCCCTCTCCCCTTAGAGCAATGCAGCGCAGTAGGTGTGCCTATGGGAGGCTTTGGATGCAAAGGCAAGCGCCATGGCTCAAAGCAAAGCTTCCCTCTTTCCCAACAATCAACTGAAAGAGCTTCAAGTTTGTTTTCTCTTTGCCAAAGCTAACGCCTCGCACTTCTTTGCCCCCATACAAAGCGATTGTTCATTAAATATTAACTTGTTTAATATTGTCTCTGCACTGTGAAGGGGCTGCTCAGCCAAGCACCACCATAAACATTAAATATGCTTTTCATCTTTTGCTCTTCCATCTCCATAAAAAAAGCAACAAAAAAAACAAGAAAAAAAAAGAACTACAGTGGGGAACAAGTGTGCACTTTAAAATATCTGCAGGGCAAAAATGATAAACCAACTCTACATCATTGCAGTGCGTGAACATGTGTTGGAAAAATATTGTTTTTTTGTTGATTTAAAGTGATTTAAAATGCTACCTGAGTCACATGTGTTTGACTGACAGAATCTGGAACACACTGCAGATATAGGAAGCACTTCTGAGTCAAACCAAAGTTTCTAAGTTCTGCTGTTTATCTTGTGTGTTCAGTTAACAGCATGAGCGGAGAAAAATGCTGATGATTAGATCCCAACAGAACAAAAGGCATGTTTATAGACAAACACAAATCTGTTCATAATGGAAAGCAAAATTAAAACATGACATGATTTTATGATTTGACCAAAAGAACCTTAGAAGTCGGCCCTTTGGAGATTCAATTCTTACTGTACCAACTGCTGTTTTGGGGGTGACTTATTTACTAGATGTACACATTAAATATTGTTTCCATAGTAGCTCAAGCCTTGTCACATCTGATAGCGGGCCTCTGTGACCCTTCATTTTCAACTCATTGCCCTGCATTCAGCTCCATCCATCTTCCCATTATGTCTGGCCCACTTGCCCTTCTGAAGAAAAGCATCTCTGCTGGATTACCCTGTAACCATTGCATTCAGGGTAGCAGTGGCGGTAACACGTATAAATTCAGGTTTTGTTTGGCATGAAGGACGTTCTTTCAAGTGTAAAATGCCTTAGCAAAGACTGCAAATATTACTCCCTATAACTTTCTATCAACAATGGGGTGTTTGCCTCCAGATCCCATCAACCATTTGTACCATGTCTGCCCTAGAGTTATCAAAGACCTGACTGCTCCTCTGAGTAATTTCTACTTGTATTGTCTATCATAGAAGTTTGGCACATGTATTTTATTTAGGAATTACAGAACTGGCTTTCTATTTAAAAAAAACTGAGTGAAAGTTGGAGGATCGTGATTCTGTTTTTATTCAGGCATTATTGGTGCCATTCCTCTTACCTTGAAGCATAGTAAAAGCTGCCAGTGTCTGGCCCTCAATCCCAACATCTTGGCTCTTAAGTCCATTGATTCCTGAGATCCACTGATAGCCTCTCAAAGATCTTTTTGAACAGGATGGAGGTGTAACTGTGGGTTGTGATAACAATAAAATCAGGATCCTCACCTTTAAATGCATTTTGGTTGATGATGATGCTTGAAACATTTTCTAATGTGTGTTCCTTCATAAACAAGCCTTCTATATGTATTTTATGTCAGAAAAGATTTAATCTAGACACTGTCCCACATAAACTACTCAAATGGCAGCTCTTGTCAAACCGCCATGCTAGAGTTTCGGCATTATGATGCTGGCCGCATATGACACAGATCCAGAGCAGCAAACAGCACACAAAGATACACTATATTGCCAAAAGTATTTGCTCACCCATCCAAATTATTGGAATCAGGTGTTCCAATCACTTCCATGGCCACAGGTGTATAAATTCAAGCAACTAGGCATGCAGACTGTTTTTACAAACATTTGTGAAAGAATGGGTCGCTCTCAGGAGCTCAGTGAATTCCAGCGTGGAACTGTGATAGGATGCCACCTGTGCAACAAATCCAGTCGTGAAATTTCCTCGCTCCTAAATATTCCACAGTCAACTGTCAGCTGTATTATAAGAAAATGGAAGTGTTTGGGAACGACAGCAACTCAGCCACGAAGTGGTAGGCCACGTAAACTGACGGAGCGGGGTCAGCGGATGCTGACGCGCATAGTGCGAAGAGGTCGCCAACTTTCTGCAGAGTCAATCACTACAGACCTCCAAACTTCATGTGGCCTTCAGATTAGCTCAAGAACAGTGCGCAGAGAGCTTCATGGAATGGGTTTCCATGGTCGAGCAGCTGCATCCAAGCCATACATCACCAAGTGCAATGCAAAGCGTCGGATGCGGTGGTGTAAAGCACGCCGCCACTGGACTCTAGAGCAGTGGAGACGCGTTCTCTGGAGTGACGAATCGCGCTTCTCCATCTGGCAATCTGATGGACGGGTCTGGGTTTGGCGGTTGCCAGGAGAACGGTACTTGTCTGACTGCATTGTGCCAAGTGTAAAGTTTGGTGGAGGGGGGATTATGGTGTGGGGTTGTTTTTCAGGAGCTGGGCTTGGCCCCTTAGTTCCAGTGAAAGGAACTCTGAATGCTTCAGCATACCAAGACATTTTGGACAATTCCATGCTCCCAACTTTGTGGGAACAGTTTGGAGCTGGCCCCTTCCTCTTCCAACATGACTGTGCACCAGTGCACAAAGCAAGGTCCATAAAGACATGGATGACAGAGTCTGGTGTGGATGAACTTGACTGGCCTGCACAGAGTCCTGACCTCAACCCGATAGAACACCTTTGGGATGAATTAGAGCGGAGACTGAGAGCCAGGCCTTCTCGTCCAACATCAGTGTGCAACCTCACAAATGCGCTTCTGGAAGAATGGTCAAAAATTCCCATAAACACACTCCTAAACCTTGTGGACAGCCTTCCCAGAAGAGTTGAAGCTGTTCTAGCTGCAAAGGGTGGACCGATGTCATATTGAACCCTATGGATTAGGAACGGGATGTCACTTAAGCTCATATGTGAGTCAAGGCAGGTGAGCAAATACTTTTGGCAATATAGTGTATCATCTGACACACCCAGACATATATACACACTCATGCATGCATGTCTGTGCATCACAACAAATGAATCTCACCGTGGCCCTGGTGACAACTAAGGTCACAGTATGATGTAAATTTGTGCTGGTTGTCTTCAGCTTGATCAGCATATTCTACCTCCTCAGTCATCTTGTCAATGGCGCTCTGGCAAGGACAACTACCATGGGGCAAAGCTCTCGCCACCGCATCCTGCAATAAAGCACCAAAGGGGAATACATCAGGCCAAGTGCCCACCAAAGAGTGCAGAGCCATTTGCGAAGGCATACAAAACGCTGTATAATTAGCCAACCTTTTCACGTTCGCCACCGAGCAGACTGCGTGTGCGCGTCAGCCTTACATGACAAGGACCCGGACGTGCATAACTTCAAGGAGAATGAATATGAAACAACTTGCTAACATATTTGCGGCTCAGGCGAAAAGAGAGCGGTGTTTTCTGATACTGTAGATCCCAATCATAGTGGCTGTCAGTCAAAACTCAACCCTAGCTCGGTGAGACATGTTTTGGGTTCCCCTATTTTTATTTATTTTTTGCATCTGTTTACTTGTACTTTGCCTCTGCTTGCTGCTACTTCTTTAAATAACAAATCATTACCATTCTTTAAGGCTTACATATTACCTGCCAAATCCTACAAGGGTGTTGTGGGTTTAAATACATATTTCATATTTCCTCAGTGCAACCCTCACGCCGCATGACACTCACTCACCCCCCTCCTTGTCTCCTGTCAGCCACATTAGGCCATATGATAATCAAATTAATTATACTTCACCCCCTCTCTCCTGGCCAGCATGAAAAATAGCTTGACTAGCATTAACTGAGGGCAAATGATGGTGGTCCATCCCCACCCCCTGAGCCCGGTGCGGTTTCCTCTAGTGCTGGTGTCACCGCAGATCTGTCACCCTGACGAGAAGAGCTTCAGAAAGCTGAACCAGGGCAGGTTCTCCCCTGGTTGTCCCCCCACCACCACCACCGCCGCCGTGCCTCTCTCCCTCCTTTTTCTTACTCTTTCAGGCTCTGGTTTTTCCTGCTCTTTCTCCAGCAACCTAGGGGGGGCTAGAGGGGCTGCAGGAGCATGAAGCGTCTATTTGCATGTTGGGGGTGGAGGCGGCTGGGAGGGGAGTAGGCAGAAAATATATAGCTTAAGGGGTTGAGGCTGAAGGGTCGCAGGGGTTGTCGGATGGGGGTATGTTTCCTGTCCCAAAGAGTACCCTCCCCCATCTAACATGAAGATGTACAGTACATATGTAAAAATGTCTACAAATAAATGGAGAGGCACATGTGCGTATCCAGTGCAATCTGCAACTCACCTACATGATCCCTTGGTACGACGAGAAACTAAGCTGGCAAACACAGAAAGGCAAAATCTGATCCTCTAAGATGATTTAAATAAAAAAACAAGAACATGGGGAAAAAAAATAGTTAAGGAAAAATACATAAACTATTTGACCTAAATAAACATTTTTTGTCACAATTGAAGAAATGTAGAATTTGTTGTCCACTCTTGCAGGGAGAGTGAAACATGTCTTCCTTTTCTAGTGTTTGAGGTTCAATTCAGCCTCTAATTTACCAAAAGCCAATTTCTCCTCCTTCCCCACAACCCTTGCTTGTGTCCGCTCAGCCAGCTACCTGAATGCAAAGCGCCTTAATGCGAGCAGACATGTTTATTAAGCTGGGCCTAGTTTCAGGCTGTAGCGAATATTGCAGACGTCAAACTAGGCCATGTGGGGCTGGAGGAGCACGAGTGGGAGATGAAAGGAGAGACCAAGAGCTAGAATGAGTGGAAGGAGAGTTAGAAAGGCCTTCTGGAGGTTGATCTGGATCCTACCCTGCAGAATTATCTTTTTCCCCTCTAATCTACAAAGTTATCAGGCACCAAAGGGCTGTGTTCTGGTATACTGTTTTTTGTTTTTTTCCATTGGTGCTGTCTGAACGTAATCACCCCTGCAGAGACTCAAACCTTTTCTCGTTAAAATGTTGATATGGAATTTAAACCAAATGAATAAATAGAAATTAGACTCACAATGCATTTGTCCTCTGTATGCAATTTGGTGAAGCGCAGGTAACCAACTGGAGCAAAAGCATCTGCAGAATGGATCACTGTCTCGGATTCATCACTGCACAAACAGAAGACATTCAGGTATTTTAGAGGTTAAAACATCTTGTCATGTTATACTGTTTGACTGCTTCACTCACATGACTATCTTCTTTTTGAAGAGCGGACAATCAAGGGTGAAGGTTTCATATTCACCTCCTTCACCACAAATATGGACTCCATACTTCTGGGAAAGCTGCTTAAGCAAATCAAAGAATTGTTTTAAATACTATAGTTTTGTATGGGGAAAAGATGTGTAATATGTTAGTCAATTTACAAGAAGGTATAAATTGTGCTACAGTACATCACTAAATACTAAATATTCATTGCTGAGAACAATATAGCGAAATTTCTCAACCGATTGTTGCAAGAGTGCTGCAGAGCTTGTGGCCATTGAGGAGCAACCCGCTCCTAGTGGCCAAAAGTTTCATGGTGTGCCTTTAAGATTATCAGATTATAAACTTTTCTGTCCCTCTTAAATGAAGGGCTAGTAATCAAGATGCTCCAGAATAAACTGGAAGTCAGCCTGTAACAAATTCAAATCACTAAAGAGGGAAAAAAAAAGAAGTACAGTTGTTTCAAAAAGCATTATAACATTATGTTGTTGATCTGTAAACATCTGACTGAAACTGTATAAATCAGCATTACAAATAATACAATGTGAATGCTAAAATATTAGATAGTACTGAGGTCAGGTAGATGGAGAGGTATGAGTTTTGGACCTGTTTCAAGTAGGGCTGCATAGAGGCCAGGGATTTTCCTAAGTGCTTCTCTGGATCCAGACCTGGCATCCACATGGAAAAAGCAGAAGAAAATTCACAAAGCAGTACAAACAGAGGAGAATACACAAACACAAACATGGTGCACACATGCAGGGAGAGAAAGAGAGGAAGAGAAAGAGAGAGGCAAAAAGAGGTCTGATCAGAAACAGACTCAGTGATTGAAGATGACAGGCAGGGAGGTTTACGGGCAGTCACACAAAAACACTCCAAAACCTGCACCCTGGATCTATTTGTTTGACTTTGCAAGTAGTGTACACAGATTTCTCTCTGTAAGGGCAACAATTTTCAACTGCCAGCCACAAACTCCCCCAGTGCACCCTTGCCTACCCCATGCACATCTAGTCCCCTTTGAGAACATCATCTCTGGAAAGATATCTTGTTTATTTGTCTTGTTTCTCCTCTTCCCCTGAAATCGTCCATGGAAGTGACTCACAGACAGTGAATGAAAAGAAGACAGAGAAAGAAAAAGGTGCTGGTCAGTTTCCCATGCATACTCTGTGGTGGCATGGTTGTAAAATACAGACCCATTATGCCCCGACTCTCCAGACAGTAAGACTAAAGCGCTGAAGTTAGCATCTACAAAAATAAAGTCAATCTTCCTTTTTTACCTATATAAAAAACTCTGCAGATTAAAAAAAACTTGTCTAATTTACCAATTAAAAGGCACAATAAATCTGTCACCAGTTTAGTAACCTTGTCGTGTTGAACAGGTTTAGATTGCAAGAGTAAAGTCATGATTTTAACCCCTTGGCATACGAAAATAAGGGCTCAACTATGAACTCCATTTCACCCCAGACAGAAAGTGAAGGCCTCGATTTCCTACAGTACATTCTTCAGCGCTTTGACGAAAAACAAAGCTTACAATACCAGGTGCTTATGACAAAGAATAGAACGATAAAAACATAACAGGACATGGACATTAACTGTTAAATTTAATGAAATTCCAAGCCATGTAGTATTTTCCCTTTATTCCACTTTTACAGTAAAAAGGATCAGGGTGTAGACACTGAAACCAAACAAATTAAGCTAAAAGTCTTTGATACCTTAAATTTTTTTTAAATGGGGAACAAGTACCTTAAAATAAAGTTTATCTTTTTAAACTAAACTGAGAAAAGTATTATTATTTTTTAATTAGATTAACTGAAGGGACCAAGTCACAAAATTTGATTTTACAAATATCTTCACCAGTAGCTCACTCTGGTTGAATACATGCTTTCCTCTTATGGGACAATGTTCGCTCATTAGCTTTCATTACTTCTGTGTTTTACACTTTGTTCTTCGCTTGTTTACTAAATACTTTGCAGTATCATAACACCATGTGACCAAAGGTACTACGATGCACATGAATAGATTCAAACAAGGACATATTTTCCCAAGTAGAGGAGTTGAAAGTCCAAAATCAAGTGTGAAATGGCTGAAATAATATTGGATACCAAAAGGGGTTTGACACAAGTAGTGCTCTGAATACAATAGGATTGTTGGTGTCACTGAAGCGGAAGCTGAAGCATATACTGCCAGCAGATTGCGATAAAATACTGGTATTGTGCGTGCAGTAAAAATCTTTTCAGACTCAAAAAGGAACTACCGGTAAGTAAACTCTGTCAGGGCAAACTATTGGCCTGTATTGCTTTATTTATACAAACATATGCTTTTGGCGTTTTTGATAATGGAAATGTTTGACAAGAATCTGGATAACAGCAGCCTTGATCTGTTTTGGATCAATTGTAAGTGCTGGTGAAATTTTGCATCCAAATTGTGGCGTCTGAATTTATTTTTTAAATATTAAAAGACATAATTGCACAGGTTAAAAATTCTATTTTATAAATTCCACTTGTAAAAAACTCCACTTGTTTTTGTTCCACAAGATTCAGATTTAATATTTTACAGTCATTCTTCATATTTGGACTGTTAGAAATGTAAACAGTACAAACATACCGTCAATCTATCAATAACCAATGTCATTCTGGAGCTGCAGCATTAAAATTCCAACCAACCATCACTTTATTGTATAACCGTGTTATGTCTGGAGTGAACTAGAGGATAGATTTAATATAGAAAAGTTGGTGCAAGTTATAATCGTCAACAACATGTTCAATAAAGTGGGGGTGGGAAAGACATCTGCAGGCCCAGATTAATGCAGTGGGCGTATAGACAATATTTATACAATTAGCTAAAATAAAATACAATGATGGGACTTAAATGCTGCAATGCATTAACAATAATACTAGATTTTTATTTTGCCACCCTCAATATTCCTTTAAGGGCTCAGTATGAAGCACACTTATGATGTATTCAATTATTTGCTTACTCTGGTTTGCAATTATTTTGGGTCAAGCACGGACTGTGAAGAAGTGATAAAAGGGATAAAAAACAATTTTTTAGCATCATATATTTATATGATGTATCTCCTTTGATTGAAGGGGTTAGGAGTAATATATGTAACAAACAGTGATATTTGGGGAGCCGTATCCTCTGTTGGGTTGGGTGCGTTGAGTTTTATCCAGTCCATAAATAGTAAAGCTCTTCACTGTATGACTTTACAGTATTTAATGTTTCCCTCGTTCAACAAGCTTTAAGAATATGCAGGTTTCATTTTTCCAATAGAAAGTGGCACCTGCCCACTCTAGCAAAAGCACCAATACTTGCTTCAATGATCTTTTTATGATCGTGATGACTGGCCTGAACAAAACCCCACAGAGAATCTGTGAAGTATTTTCAAGAGGATGATGAGAGACACCAAGTAAATTACACCAAGTTGATTCTGTATTGAAACTTTTTAAAGTAATATTATGTGATATGTTGAGTTTCCATTGTTATGGGTCTTTTTGTAAGTGGATGTTTTTTTATTCTTGTTGTTTTGTTTTTTTTATATATATATGTCACATAGAGTGTACATGTGCCTCTCCAGAGGACAAATGTTTGTGAAGTTACTAACTTGAAAGGAGAGAAAGTACGATGCAGAGAACTTGTTCTAACCTTTGCCCAATCAGATGAGCAGATAAATATTTATTGATTGACTTTATTTTTTAGAATAGGAAGGCACTAAAGGAAGAAACTGTGCATTTTATTTAGGAAGATAGTTTCTTAGTTTTGAGAGGATATGCTTGCAAATTAGTTTAGATCATTTCTCCCTGAAAATGAAGAGGAATATTTTTAACCTTGTTGATAACTTGTGACTGGATTTTACTCTGCTTTCAATAATCACTAACTGGTAATCTAGTCTTATGGACCTTGAAGGATATTTTTGGATTACTTGGAAGCACATGTAAATTATCCATCTGATATTTTTGCAACTACTTCAGTGATTGACATGATCATTAACAAGCTACTGATGACCTGTATGGTGGTATTGTAGATTTGAGACAGTGATGCCACTGTAATAAAAATAGTTGGTGAATTGACCTCAAAATTTCTCCAGAAAATGAAATATAGTTCTTCTACTAGTGGAGATCGCATGGTACTGTTCATTGGCATGATCATGTGTTTAATTAGACGAATGAAGTTAATCCTAATGTGAGAATCTCTCGTCTCTCATGGCTTGACAACCTCAAAGGTTAATGTGTCATCTTCAGACCCCATGGGGAGCGACGGCTGGAAGACGAGAAGAAAATGGAAAAGAGATGTGAAGGAGGGGATGTCGCATCCCATCCCTGCGTTCATCTTAATCCCAGCTGTGTCTCTCCTGTGGGTCCCCGTGGTCCGGCGCTTCAGGGAGGAGAGACCGAGGGCCACAGTGGTGAGGAGGGAGGGGAAAGGAGGAGAGTAGACAGGGTGTGAAAGGATAGAATGAGCAGGCCCTTATTCTCCTCCCAGGGGATCTGTAGTCTTAATTAGTGTGAGAATATCTAATCTCAACATCCTCTCATCTTAACCCCGCCACAAAGGTAATAAGGAGGGTGAAGAAAAGCATTAAAATTCAATCCAATTAAAAAATCCTCTTTAATTAGTCATGCCTTTTAACAAATTTTGAAAATTGGCTCTGAACTCCTGTGGGTGGGGGGGAGTTTTTTAATATGTTCATTAACTTCCCAGCTCTTAAATAATATATGACACATGATTTGATATTTACAAGGGGAGAAAGGGATGACTGAAACCTGCAACGACAAGACTGAGTGATAAAACCATAGTAAGATGGCATTAATGTGGAACCATTTCTCTAAAGACCACTTAGCACTTGTGTGAGTGTTTTCCTAATTGATGCTCCAGATAAAATTAAGGTTACTGAAACCATTTGTACATGAAGGAAACTGGAATAAGGCCGCACTTGTACAATATATACTTTGCAAAGTCTTAAAGAAGCCATCAGCGTGAGCCATTGGCGATCTAACACCACTCATTTGCATGATCTCCACATCTCTGTCTCCTCTAAACCTGTTTTACAACTTGACCTAAACCCAATTACCTAACCTCATTATGCCACATTAAACCCAAATAAGCCCACTAGAAGCTGCCATTAGTCTGCCACAAGAGACAGCAAGACCTCTCCTTAGAGAGACACAAGCTTTGCTGAGATGGACTGAAAGGGAAGACTCTCTTTTAAAAGGCCCTTTTTACATCTTATTATCCCATAAAAGTCCAGTTAAATTCAGTGAACTTTAAAACCCCAATGTCCAGTAATGACTAAATGCATTTTTAGAAGCTCAGTAAAGATTTAGAGGGTAATATTAAGACAGGAGACAAAGTTGCCAGGAGACCAGGGAAAGGAGTTTTCTTTCTTGAACTGAATTTGAATAAAAAAAACATTAAAACTAATGTTTAATAATAAAAATACAATATCCTACAGAGAAATTGTGAGTCTAGCTCTAAAAAGTATATTAGTCAGTTACAAGCATTGCCTGAACATAAATAAATATTGAAACAAACTTAATTTGCTCTCACAGATGTTCAGTGGATTTAATAGGAAGACCATGTGTACAAATAAAGAAAAAAAAACAACAACTAAGAACCACCTGCACACATGAAATTACAAAAAGTTAGATTAGGGGTGGCAGAGTGAAGTTTA